GCACGTAGGCTTTGCTTTTGTTCACGCCCAATAGCCCGTCTGGTCACATTGTGTTCAGAACCAGCCGGGAGGTGTCTTCTAGCTTCCAACAGGTTCACGGACATCTCGGATATCCAGTGACTGGTGCGGTGACGACTGATAGTGCCACAAACAGATGCTCCTGCGTCGTGCATAGCGGCCGAGATTCTATTCCACTGAAGTTCAGTGTCATTGGGACAAGACAGCGAGAGTCCGGTATGCAATGCTTCTTGATAGGCTTGCCTGACAGAGAGCTGGAACAATTTCTCCGTTGCCAATCAGGGGAGACGCTTTGTGCGCCTTCCGGTAAAGTTCATGGGGAAACAACGGCGTACTAAGGCATGATCAGTGTCGACGCAAGTACTCCAGTACGAGCGGCAATCCAGAATGGAACCGCGCCACCTGTAACTTATGGCTATGTGGTCAATTTGGGTCCGTCACTGGCCAGCTACAGGTGGACGCTAAGTGGCACTTCGGCGCCCACTGTGTCTAAAAGCAGTGCTACTAATAAACAACTGGTGTTCCGCACACAGTTGCAGCAGACGCTCGCCGTTGTCAGTCCGTTCGGCGTTAAGTCCATATTTACCACCCAGCTGAGCTTCTGAAGAGCTCAGACGCCCTACTTGTGCGTTCATATCCCCTGCAAGTACTATAATATCTGAACTAGGAATACTGCGTAGCAGCGTGTTCAGTTCGTGATAGAAAGTGTCCTTGACTGCATTAGAACTGCAGTCAGTGGGAGAATAAGCAGAAATCACAAACAAACAGCGTTTTATTTGAAATTACGTCGAAACGCGTCGTGGCTGTGCAGTGTTTTAGGGTGGGCAATACCCAATTTCCATCTACCGTTTTGTTTTACTTCGCGAATTCACCTTAGGTGGTGTCGTCAAACGGGCTGCACATAAACGGCTATTCACCGGAATCCAATCAACCAACGATGACTCAGCATTGCAGCTGTGAATGGTACCTACACCAGCTTGACCAGTGAGTGCCGCATTGGCGTCTCCGGATGCGTGCAACCAATAACGAGAGGATAAGCCGGGTGCAGTCAATTCAATGACCCCGTTAGGGTCATTAATCCTAGTTTCGGACACACAACACACATCAACACCCAGTGTGTCCAAGGTGCGTGCGACTGCAGCCTGCTGACCTGTTTGTCTTAGAGTGCGGACGTTGAATGTCGCCATGGAAACGGGACAGCTTGGCCTTATAAGGGACTTTTGCCGATAGGCGTCCGATAGGTGCTGTGGGATGGTGGCTGCAGATGGTACTACTCTAGTAGCACTTCGGTTGCAGTCAATTGAGCTGGGAATTATAGAGGGAAGGTTAATAATAGGGGCCGCGATGGGAGTAAGAGAAAAAGGTGGAAAAGAAGGAAGGGAGGCGCCAAAAGTAGCATGTTTTCGCTTATCCGCCCTGCTGTATGCAACAGATCAGGCGACCCTTGATATTCTGCGCTACGGCCGACGCAGGATGAAGTTTATGTTTGAAGAAAATGTCATGATTGTATGTGGGCTGGGATACTGCCAGGGCGCCCAGACCTAGACAAGACGATTAGGGTCCTCATCCAAAGCCTTAGGCTCAAAAGTCTGTCCGCAAAGCAGCGGGGTAGCAGTGATTTAGTTTTACAGAAATGAACGCCATCCCATTTCAAACCCCCAACCTGGAGGACCAGGAGACTGAGTTTGTCTGACCTCTCACCAATGACCAACCAGGTAGGAGTAGCTCTAAAGACCCACGGAGGCATCACACAGTATAGCTCAATGGGTCATTGAGGTACGCAAACCGTCGCACCACGTTATGGTCCAGTCTCGTTGCGACGGGCCGAAAAGCCTAAGTTTATTCTGATCCAGCATTTCTCAACACAGCCGTGAAAGAATTTGTGATCTCTCAATCTGTGTTCAGCGTTGTGTTCAGATGCAGTTGGCAGGTTCCAGTCACTCGCCATTCATTGTGACCTTGTCGGCCAGTGCGACTGCATAACTCATCACACGGACCACGCGACCACGTCGACCGCTCAATTGACCTTGCAACCACCACGCTATCCTGACCGATGTGCGCCGCTCTCAAAGCTGGAAAGCACAGAACCCACTGGGTCTGGTAACGATACCACATTGAATGGCAGAAATGCGAAACCGAAAACGCTCCAAGCGAAAGGCATTTGTGGGTTAGGAGGATGTCATGGAGTAGTTAAAATCGGTCTGGCTTGCTCGCACTGTTTGCAATGGTATCATACGAAATGTTCAAAGGTGTCGTAACAACAAGTCCGGGAGCGAAACAGCTCACAAGATGCACTTTTGTTCTGTACTGCGTGCTCCCCCATCCTACTCGTTAGGTGCTTGCTTATCCTAGCTCAGAAGTGCGACCGATTAACCGCAGAAGCCGAGTTGGGGATAAACGATAAGATTACTTCAATAGAAGCGAGTATGCACAACGGAAGCGTAGTGGCTTCTAAGCAACGGAATGCTGCACAATCTGCTTC